ATAGTATATCATTACACTCAAACTCCCTAAAGGCTATAACGCACAAATAACTATGCGCTTACGAAATACAGCAGCGCAATACTACACGTCTTCTGCACAGCTGAAATTCGTTCAAGAGGCGTGTGCTTGAAAACTGAAGGACAATCGGTCACGCTCGACTACACCACTCCCGCTTTTTGTCGCGTCGCTAAAAGCGTAGCAGCGGGTGATGGGCCTCCCGCATGAATATGGCCTCATTAAAATTCCGAAAGCGAAAATTTATTGTGATTTTAATATTAGCTTTACAATATGGCAACCCGCGTAGAAACCAAACTGTCCTAACAAATTGTGTCAAATAAAATATTTTTTTTATTAGACTGCAGTTCATCTGAATTTTCGGCAGGCTTTTCAGTCGTTACCGTTACGTCTAATACAGTGTCCTAAATCGCCGCACTCGGTCTTAGCCCACATCCCAGGATAAATTATTCATGTCGCGTCCTCAATACTACAGCGTGGGCTCCAAATCGATTTTCTGCGACGGTAACAGACTTTGAAACCATCACAATAGGAGGGTAGCAGATAGCAAATAATGTGATGGATGAATCGGCAGTCGTCGACAGAACGGGTGAATTTTTTCATAGACAGCACATGGTGTTGCGTGAAGGACCATTTCCTCGATTGAATTTTCATTTTCCGCCTGTATTCAATTTGGTTGATATAGCTACAGCCAGTTGTAACTTTCACCATACATTAAATGGAAATTAGATACACTTTCCTATGTATACAATAAGGATACTCACAACAGACTGTACAATTTTAACATATTTGAATAGCCTCTGGTAAAAACCTTCCATTCTGAGAATATAAGAGACCAATTCCATTACAGGAAAAAATGAATGTAATGAACTGTGAAATTTTCAATGAATTTGCATAGCAAAATCATCATAAGCTTTGACATAATTATGCAAGGAGAGTAAATTAGTGGGGCATGTCATTATAAGGACGCAATCAACAGTAATAAAAGAACCATGAATGAAGAAAATGTGTATTGCACTATAAATCGATAAGCCATAGTTGGTTCAGTAGGATTATAATATAAACCATGCCAAATATTACCTAATTAAAAAAAAAAAAACTTTCTAAAGCTAATTATGCAGAAAATGCTTAAACAAATGTGAATAATGTGTATGGTTTTTATGAATATAAACTAGGAGTATTAACCCTTTTTCCACAATGAACACCTGTGAATATGAAGCAAAAAATCATTAACGATTTTTCACTGTTTGAGGTATTTCAGAACAAAAATAACGGCCGGTTCAAACTAATTTTCTTAAGTCATGCATAATATTGAACACCTAATCTTGATGTAAACTCCTTGAAGTATTACTTTGCAATTGTCCTTAATGATAATGTAAGCTTTATTAAATTTTTTTTTTTTAACACACGTACATTGAAAAGATTGTTAGGGTATTTTTGAAAATTAATTCGATGGAGTTAAAAGTTTTAGCCTCGTCTTGCTATAAGGTGGTAAGTAAACTACATTACACACAGTATAAAAAAATTTTTGGCTGCTGATTTACCGAAGCAAAAATTTAATAATAACAATCTTAAAAGTTTACAGAAGTGCGAAAAGCAATTGAGCAGTAGCATGACAATTGACGGGTAATTTAAAGCAAAAATGTTTCAAGAAATCACCAGTTTCTGCTTGCTGGAGAATTTAATTTGAGATTAGCATGTAATATCAGGAGTTTTAAAAAAAGAAAATTGCATGAAAGCAAATTATGAAAAAAGAAATTTTTGTTGCCTGCCAAACTAACAACTGTAATTCACATCTGTGCTATTTAGTTTCGAGAATACCCAATTATGATTGTCCATTTCTGTAAAATTTGCCATTATTGCTGCGAAGCCATGTATAAAATCTGCCCTCATTAATACTAAAATGTAAAAGTTTTGATTATATTAAATTCGGATTTGAAGTAAATTGAATTTTTTCAACTAGATCCTATCCATTTCAAACATTGTGATAGTAACGTTAAAACAAAGATACTGATTTCTTTGATGCGAATGCTACTTTAATGCATCAAATGCTACAACCCTACAAAGTCATTTTTGTTTAAAAAAAACAGTCAAAAACTACCAATCTAGACCTCAATAAAAAAAGAAATTTGGAGAACAGAAAAACTTAATGTGCAAAGGACATTCCATGGGTTCACACTTCTGATCTGAAGCTGTTACCTTTTACTGTCGAAATTTAGAAAACTGCTCATGGCTTTATAAGAACACTCTTATTGGTGGGGTCTATTTTGAGAATTCAGAGGTTTTCAATGATGCCCAGTGAACAAAATTTGAAAACTTCGATATTGTGATGCCATACTTAGCATGAAATTTTTATTTTCAAGATGATTTGCAACAGTCAATTCAGTGTTCATTAGCTGTGAAATCTTACTATTGTACTATCGACACGTATTTAGATATTGTGCTACCATCTTTTTTGGCACAAAAATATACTAATAGTCCTTAGCTTGTGATACTTTCAAAAGTGAATTATCACCGGTTGGTCTACTAGTTGCGATCAACTCCATCCTCTGTACTATAAATTCTGGGTCTCGTGCAGTTTCGTAACGTACTTCTAGTGGACGTAGCCTTAACAACTTTTTCACATGTCAATCCTAACCCCCACCTGACTATGCCACCCAAAAATTATGCCACTAATATAATATGGCCCTTCAAACTATACGAACTGTCATCCAAGACACGCAGACGATCACCCAAAATCGAGCAAGGTATTTCTTTCGTTGCTGTCGTTAGCCAGTTCTTCATTGTCGGCGCGGATGCCATTTCGGGCGATCGTCTGATCGTAGTTATACTGTGACAAGCTCTATGACATAAGTTTTGGATGGCATAATCAGGCGGGATTAGGATTGACAAGCTCTATGACATGATTGTGACGTCGTAGTGACGTAATTTTAGGATGGCGTAGTCAGGTGGGGGTAGGATTGACATGTAAAAAAATTGTTATGTCACGCCAACTAGAAGTACGCTAGGTACGAAACTACACGAGACCATAAAATCTATACCTATAATTTTCGCACTACAATGTAAAATCTTATCTATAGTGCATGATCTACTGCTACGGTATATCCTAAGGATTAGAATTATACACCAACTTCAAGCGAACAACCAGACTGCTAAAACAAGGTGTTTAACATTTAGCATCTGCTGTGCGAAAACTACAATCTTGACAGATTACTGATAATGGTTGATATTACTAGTCAATTAGGTCTTTTTGCAAAACCACCAACGAAAATGAAACAAATATTGAAAATCCCGCTTCTCGACTAGATGAAACTGAAGCACCCTGAGACTGTCCACAGTTTCAGCTTATTATCGCTCCTATTTCTTGTCAAATTATTGTTAAATGAAAGATCTGCTGCTGCTTATTTAGATAAATTTATTTTTATGTTTGCTGTAGGATTTTAAAGTGTATTTCGTGGGGTGGTGTTGGTTCAAGTGATTGACGTTTTGAAAATCATTGGTAAATCCGTAAATGACATCAACTTGTAGTAATCGCAAAGTGTGTAAAATATCTTACACTATTCAATGCAATAAAATATTCAAATTGATCTACCGATAGTAGCAACAACAGTTTAAGTTTGACTTCAAGTATGGAAATCAGTACTGCAGTATGAAAGTTCACAATATTCTTCAGAAATTTCGGAAGCACCCAGGCACTATTTAACATACAAATGATGCAACTGGTAATGAAACTAATTTGCTAACACAACTCATTATAAACTGACACAGTAGGTCTGTAACTGCAAGGAAGTGCAGTATAGACTACCAGAGTAAAACCGATTGCAGAGAGCATAACTTCTTGCAGAAAAGTCGCAAAAATATTTGTTTGTGGGTGCGTTATTTGAATCGCTTAATATCTTATAACTACGACAATTTAGTCAAACTATGTTTACCATCTCCATGTATAAATAAGTCAACGAATTATTATAAACTCACCCACTTCTGAACTTCCCAATTCCCACGCTGCAGGGCTCGACCTCCTCCGAAGCGAAGGTCAGCGAAAGAAGGGCGGGATGCAAAAATCCGGTTTGGTCAGTTTATTGGCCAGTGTCGCCACCTAACGGCTAAAATGCTTTTTCTCGAGGCATTCGAACCAAGTTTCCATAATCATCAATTTCTTTTGAATTAAAAAAAGTTATCGATGATGCAATGAAAATATTGCCGACGACTGTGTCCATAAGCACTAATTTTTTGGGTAATACCGTAACAAATCTAGTACTTTATATAACCAAACCAAATCACATCTTTCTGTTACGTGGCATTGTTTATCATGGCATTTTTCCAATCCCATTTGAGTTTATTTTGAAAAATATATCTATGTTGTATTGATATCTGAAGAAGATGTTTTTTTTAAATATATATTTACTTCAACTATATCTTAATGAACCTTTCCCCGAGCATCAACTTCCTTGTTTACTTCGTGACATTGGCCAATCAGCAAGATGCAAAAAGTGACAATGCTCCCTTTTCGCATCCGCTCAGACACTTTTTTCACTCAGACCAGTATATATTTACGCTCAGGCAGATTTTCAGGCGTGGTCCTAAACATTACCTCCTTTTCGCGTTTTGAACTCTATTCATTAGTTTTCAGTTGTGTTTCAGAAATTTAAATATAAATCAGATAATTCAATGATGACTCTGTCGTCTTGGGAGTTTTTATTTAATTGCAGTAATAAATAATTGGTGTAGAAATAGCTGTGATAGACTAGGGTAAAATTCTTTACCGGTACTCTGAAAAAACAGATTGTTGTATGCGATGAATCATAATGATGGTTTGGTACAAATTTTACAGGCGCAAACTCGCAAAACCACTTATAAAATAAGCCCCGAAAATTTTGCAATGTTAAAGTATAGGAAGAATTTTTCGGAGGTCAAAAGTCGGGGAAATGTTCATTGCCTTTGAATATTGTTGATCTCTACCCCCATCACATGGTATATGAATATTTGCAGCATTGCAATGCGACCTGTTGTTGTTTTGCTTTGCTGTATGCTGGTTTGGTCTGGACGAGTCGAGTTCTTGTTTTGTTGTTCTGCTGTTCGGTTGGCACGTCGATTTCAGCTTAATGTTTCCCTAAATTGTTCAATTTTCCAGTTGTTCTGCTGTATTCCAAATGAGCTGCATGGATTCGGAAGGTGCGAATAGTGATGTAGGCATCAAGGTTACCAACATATCAGATAGTGATGGCTACCTATCCAATCCAGAAATGGAGAATTTTGTGGATCAGGAATTCATGAGAGCGATCGGAGAAAACGAGGCAAAAGAGCGGGCGATCGAAGTGAGTGTTCCTTTGTTTGGTATGGGGCAGCTTGAAATGGAAAATGTTTCATTTTTTGCCTACTTTTCTATAATCACTAAGTTGAAAGTTTTAGTTCAACTCAAAAACAAAGCCATTTTTTTGTCAAATCTTACTACGGTACTAACCAATTTTAACACTAATTATGATTTTACGGCATAATATATCTATTCAGAATGTTAAAAATCTGAAATTAATTAACAGGATGAACCAATTTTTATATTGCTACGTACTTTTCCAGTTCTCAATAAAATCTTAATATTTTACAACAACAGATTCCACCAGAAACAAGAAGAGAAAGTGACAATAATTCACATCCACAAATAGATTCCACGTCTACGCCTGCTGTAAATGTGTCAGGACAAAATTCATGCCCGTCTCCAGGTATTTTGATTTTTCAATACTTGTAATAAACCTGCTGTTTGTACAGAAACCGAATGTCCCTATACCGAGGAGGCAATTTCAACAATATTTCAGACAATTTATCTATCTAAATTTCAATATTATATTAGTTTACATAATATTGCATCATTTTTGTTTCGGGTCTCATGTAGTTTCGTACCTAGCGTACTTCTAGTAGGCGTAGAATAACAATTTTTTCATGTGTCAATCCTAACCCCCACCTGACCACACCATTCAAAAATTATGTCACTACGACGCCACAGTGACGTAATAGAGCCCTTCAAACTATGCGAAATGTCATCCAAGACGCGCAGACGAGAACCCGAAATCGAACAGCCATTTCTCTCGTTTTCTCGTCGCAACGATCCCGATAGGAGAAAGATCGCTGACGTTAGTCAGTTCTTTATCGTCGGCGCCGATGCCATTTCGGGCGATCGTACAAGTATTTGGCAAGCTCTATGACGTGATTGTGACGTCATAGTGAAATAATTTTTAGATGGCGTAGTCAGGTGAGGGTTGGGATCGGCATGTCAAAAAATTGTTATTTTACGCCTACTAGAAGTACGTTAGGTACGAAACTACACGAGACCCTTTGTTTCTTGGTTGAAGCATATTGGAAGATGTTAATTTACTGTGAATGTAAGTAATCTCATGCATATTTTCATATTTTTTCAAACTTCATAATACCACGTTATGAATTCATGGCAGAATTGTTGCTTTTCATAATGGTTGCACAAATGTTATGGCACTTCAGTGAACTATTCAAACTAACCTTATCAAAAATCTATTTCTACAAATCGAAAATTAAAATACAAAAATATTCATTTTTGTAAATAGGGGCCCTGCGGTGTGGTACATCATGCTAAGTGTTCGGAATACATTCGGCCGCCGTAGAGTAGACAGCTGACTGCTTCCTCAACCATCAAGTCCATGCTTCTAAAAACAAATTACTGGTTATCTAATCCCATACAGGACGAGATCGGCTTTCCTCTTCCGTGGGATAATCATGTGAATCCTAAGGTTTTAGAATTGAGATAATAGGGATTTTATATTGATTTTTCATGTTTATCTACTGGTGGAGAAAAGCTGATAACAATGCTCAATCCTATAGTTATAATCATAGGTTCTTGCCTGTGATCCGGTACTAGTTGAATTAGCAAATTAGAAATGAATAGTAAAATCGTAATTTCAATTAAATATTCAAAAAGGTAAATTTAGAAATTAATATTATTTAATAAACCTTGAATTTATCCAAACTAAGGGTATATATAATATTGGAGCATGTTCTAATTTTCAAAAAATGTTTGAAATTCACTGTTAACATGAAATCAAAATAAATTGCAATCAGTCTTGCTTCATTGCAAAGCTTTATTGTGCAGGAACGTTATTATTTTCCGTTAACCGTATTGCACAATATTGAAAAAAATTTGAAGTAATTTTCCACATGTTATTAAGTTTATTTTATGCAATACTATGGCTATATCAATCATTAATTGCCCTGTGGTAGACCTAACAGAAAATAAACATTGCTGATTATAAGTGTAAACATAACCGTATGACCTTATCGTTTTGAATGACGTTTGCTTATAATAACATTACGAAACAGTACTATACTATCTTTGTACATACTCGCAATCGGAGATGGTTTAATATAAGTACACATTGCAACAAGGTTTTCTAATTGTAATCTTGTGTAAATTATGCTGCTATGTCCTTTACTAGATCGGGGTAGGATTAACTTGAACTTGAGCTTTTAAAATGTTAGCCCATTGTGATTGCCCGTCTCAGACTTTTGTTCCAAATCTGAACTTTTCAGTAGTATGAGCAAACTACGGCCCGTGGCCCAAATCCGGCCCTTTGGGTAGTTCAATCTGGCCCGCCTGATGCTGCCACAACCAAAATAAAACCAAATTTTGATTTTAAGCTAAAAAATAGCTCAAGGAATTTGTTGAGATTGTGATTAAATTCAGTTTTGGCACGAGGCTCCTTGTTTTCCACATTTGCTTTTGTAACACTGTAAATGTTGTTCATAAAATGTAACTTTTTATGTCACCCTTACATGGCCCGCCAGTCTAGGTGGGCAAAATTTTTGACTCCTGGTCGCCTGGTCCACAAAACTGATACCATGCTCATTCGTAGGAAAACAAGTAGAAAGAAGCAAATGCATTCCATTTCCCTATGAAGTTTGTATCTATAGACATTAGAAACATTGACTAAACTATATCATTCATGTTTTAATCAGATTTTGCTGTCTGGAATAAATATGCTTTTGGTTTTGAGTAATAAAAATTTCCGAATATATGAAGTAAATTTGTGAGTTCTAACAACAGATTTATTAGAAAAATTAATGAAATTCCTGCCGAAACGTAGCAGGGTCCCAAATAAAACATGCATAACTATATTTTTATAATTTATGTTTTTGACAAGGTCTGGGTGGTAACTTGGAATTGCAAAAGCTTTTAAGTTGAGTTATAGTTAGGGATGGATATACGGTCCGAGTCGCTATTGAATTATCTTCTTCATAGAGAGCCATTTTATTCCATACAAAAATCAATAAACTCACTTGAATTAAAGTGTATTAGAATGACATGTCCAAAAAGCTCTTGAATTATCTTTCTCTATATGTTCAATCTTTGAAAATAATTTCTTTATTCAAGGTACAACTGGAATGCCTGAAGTATTGGTGCAGGCAGGATGGAGAATGTTTTGGAGCCAAAGAGAAAATCGATATTATTTTTTCAATAAATTAACCAACCAATCATTGTGGGACATGCCACAAATTGCACAAGCGGGGATGGCAGTTCCAAAAAGTCCAACTGGTGCTGCTCCATTGGTAAGATGGTAATGCTTGACAGCTGAGTGGGGTTGAATCATAGATATACTTGCCCAAGTATGTCCCCCCATATCCACAAGTTGAGTTTAAAACTAAAAAAGGGGGACGGCTTATAGGCGCATAACTCTGATCGCACTAATTCTTTTCTGCAATCGTTTTTTGTGATAGGTGAGTACAGCGTGTTACAATTTGTCGGGCAGGCTTTTATGCTTGTGAGTGAGTGTTATGAGTGACAAGGTGACATCATGGTTTGGAACTCTGATGGTTTTCATTAGACAGCCTCATCACATGCAATTGCCTTACTATTTCACACTTAAAATCTGACTCAAAGAAAATTTATTTTGGCTTGACTTGGTTATTTTTCTGTTAATAAGCTCGACTGTTGTAGCTTTCGAGTTGATAATTTGGCCCCTATCTTGGCTGTTATGTTATTTTTATTTTTGAATTTTGTCATAAGGTAATTTCAAGTTTTGTGAATGAGAATTGGTATTTGAATGAATGCTTTGTCTTAATCTAGGATCCAAATTGACAGAATCAATAAACGTTTAAATTTTGAAACTTGAATTAAAACTTTTTGGGTCGTTTTGACAAATTTCAAAAATCTCTATAACGAAGTATATTTTATATTTAGAATGATCCTCTTGGTTTATCTTCTGCAACAACAACAAAAACTGTTTCACCCGATAATAAATCTCAACCTGTTTCTTTAAAGAGAAGATCTATTGATGAAACATGGAACGGAGTGTCTCGTAACAAACAACCGAAGCTTGAGTGAGTATCTTTATTATGAGGCAGGATGACCTAGTGGTTCTATTCGTTGGACTTATCTATGCAGGCGATACAAGTTACACATTTTTAAGTTTGGACCAGCTCCGTTTTTGAAAAAAGACCTGATCGAAATTCAGTAAAAACTGATAAAATTTTGTTCCTACCAATTATGTGTACTCAATACACAAGACTAGGCAATTTTAACATAGCTCAGTTGAGTGAATAATACATAACATTCGTTATTTTCAGTACTGAAATAGCCTCAATATGCGATATTTCGGTATAAATCATTTATATTAAATTACAGCACGGACAACATAAATGATGTTTGAATTGAATCATCATGTTATTTTGTAATTTATTTATAAATATTTCGATCATAAATGTCATTCAATAATGACAATTCTTCACAACTCTCTATGATCTTGATTGATTTGATATCATTTTATGTTGTTTTGCCAATCTTTTCTCAGATAATATTCAAACTTTCTGTTGCCTGAACAAATAAAAGACTATATTAAAATACTAATTATACCACACATCAAATAGTTTTATGGAATGGTGAAGTTTAGGCATGCCTATTTGTCAAATCTTAGGTATTCTAGAATGCTTGTTTCCAACTTTTTTCAAGAGGCCAAAAGTTTTTAAAAATAAAATTTTTTGCAATCTTGCAACCCTAGAATATGTTCAAATACTAACTAAACGGTATGTAGTGCCTTTAGTGTCGCATAATAAAATTACGAAATGTAGTAATACAAAACAATCATTTTTACTTCCCTTTTATTATACCAGAAATTATTTCAAATTATAGGTGCGATTTTTTGCATTCAGCTAGATTTTAAAATCGTGACATGGCTTTACTTTGAGTATCACAAAGAATATGCTAACAGGGCAAATATACAATTAGTTTTACGAAGAATTAAATACAGAATAAATTAAAAAAAAAAATAAAATTATCAACTTCAATCCACGACTGCATGCAGATCAATCTAACAATTTGTGTTAATTACTTACTCTTTTGTAGTTAAATTTTTTATTATTTTTTCCAGTGTAACTGTAAAGAATAACAATAATAAGCTTACTGATAGCATTACTACATAAAAAAATAATACATACTGGTAGATACAATTTTTTATGCATCATTGCCACAGATGAGGTTATGTTAGATTTTGAGCATTTTTGTAATAGTTTGGTTCTAACAACCAAACCTAAAAGTGGACGTAAGACACTACCTGACTTAAAACTATAACAGATACAGCTTTGAAATCGAGAATGAAAATGGCTCTTAGTTAATTAGAAGGTTCGTTAGACAGAAGGTCAAACAAATCCATTTTTGAAAAATGTATAGGCCTATTATGATATAAGCTGATTTCGTTTTCCTGCAGCCATATTTGAAGTTTTAACATTTCTCAATTTGTGAGGGAAGGGGTTGTTTGCAGGGGATTGATAGTGTATTTAATGTTATATTTTTGAATACTGTAATGAGAAAAGACTAGAACATTCTTCTTATTTGCAAGACATTTGTAACCTGTTATACATACAGAAGTTATATATACATTCAGTCCATTGTACTAATTTGCAAATTTCAAACTATGGCATTAGTCTTTATTATGTAATAATAATAGCATTATATAGGTAACTGTTATAGACAATATGACAATATTTACGAACAATTTTATTCCAGTTTCAATTTTTATGTAATTGAAATCTGTGTCTTTTTTGTGTTTGTGTCTTTCTAAATATGGAAATATGTGTTATGGAATCGCACACGTTCCCATTGATATATTAGATTTACTACCAGTAATCATCTATTCACTGCAGAGATCAATAAAATTTTTGTTTTAAAACTTTTATCAATATTTCCACTTCGTGTAATTCTTCGTTGATAGGGCTGTAATTGTTCAAAATCCCTGATTAAACTGTGATTTAGACCAGGGCTACTCAACTGGCGGACCGCGGTCCGAATCAGGACCTTCGGGTATTTGATTCGGACAGCGACTAATTCTTCATTTTGGATCATTAGCCCGACTTTTCAAGTTTCCTTTTATAAAATCATTTTTATAGATTTAAATATATATGAAAAGACAAAAGAAATATAACGCCATAATAAACAATCTTATATAGCTAATAATCATTAGTCTGCCGAGGAAGTGCGTGTTTAAGGATGGCGAAATATAATTTCTGGAAAGTCGGGACCCAAATATTTTTGAAGTTTTGTATGCGGATCTTCGGTAAAAATAGTCGAGTAGCCCTGATTTAGACCAAGACAACACTGGCTTATATATAATCAGAGATGGCCAAAACTGAATAACTGATTTATTGAATTGGCAATATTTACAAGTATGAAATACTCATCAATATATTTCAAATTGCGTCATATTCAACTGGGAAATTTGAACAAGTTACTGTAAATCCAGAGAATTTGGATTTGCTAATTTAACTGAGAGTCTGAGACGAGCTCTGATTGATTTTTAATTTTTAAATTGTTTGGAACAGAAGTGATAGAAAGTCTATTTTTAGGTGGTCATTGTATCTTTTCTATCAATAATATTTTCAGTTCCTGGTTGACGGCTTCCTTTCTTATTAAAAGTTCATGAAGTTGTATATTTTTTGCCAATTATATTGTATAGTTTACATTATTTATCTTATTTAATTTTTTTTTATTTTTACCATACAGATGCTACTGGAACTTTGATATCAATACTGACGTCATGGTGATGGAGAGTGCTCCATGTAATTTAGCTCCACCTATACCCGAAGTGGAACAGTTTCGTGCAACTTTAACAAATCAACTTCGTCAACATTATCAAGATATGTGTCATTCACGAGAAGGTGGTCTTGATTTATATTGTTAGTTCATAATCATATGTCATATATTTACACAACTTTACAGAAACGCTCATATCTAAGCAGATAACATAATTATCAGCTGGGGTTAGGATAGGATTTACATATTTATCAAAGCTGATAAGACCGCGCTCCAGAAGTATGTGTACCAATATGGAGGTAACTAATTTTGTTCGCCCATTTTACATCAAGTTGTGTAAAGGGAATGAAGCCTATGGGCAGGGGTTATATTCACTTGGCTTACACAGTCGGTTTACGAACTCATAATGGAACTAAAATGAGGTAAATAGGAATGAAATTATGAGCTAAACTTAACCTGGTACGTGGTACACATACTACGGGAGTACCGATAAGACGGCTTAATCATATGGCGAACCACTCCCTCTCTCGTCCTGTTACCAGTCCATGTCGGGTACAGGAATATTTAGCCAGTTATTTGTTTTCTGATGCATGGACTTGATGGCTTATTGTATTTTCAAAGCATAGTTTTCTTGAAAATTTGAAATTTACACGGAGTCGATATTGCCATCTCTGTATTTTGTATGGCAAATTTATCACGTGCTAACAATGACAAAAAATCAATTTGTATATTTTCCATTATTGTCATTCATTGTTATAATGGCAGGTGGCAGATGCTGAAATGCTAAATTCTACCAGGCACGGATATACCTATTGATTGGGTCTACCTTAATCTCATTACAATTGTCGGTCTGCATATTACCCTTGGATGATGGCAATATGGCTTAGAATATTTGAATATTTTAACATAGCTGTGTGAATTATCCTGATTATGTTTGATTTGAATACATAGACCTAATTTGCCAGAAATTATGCCAAATTATATTATGTAAATCTTCACTTAATCATTTTTTTGAGAAAAATGATGGATTTTTGATTTTTGAAAACAAATTTCGAATACCTATAATGCTATCTTATTTGATGGTATCGGTTATTAATATAATTCTTGGGTTTTTCGCAGAAATATTTTTTAATAATCAGACATGCGCAGAACATTAGTGTACTATTGTAGCAATTGCTCAAGTTATTATAAATAAATAAATGAATATAAAAACTAACATATTGTTTTTTAAAATCGTTGAATTAGGTATCGATGCACCAAATGAATCATTTAACAGATGGATCTTAGAAAGGAAAGTATCAGACAGAGGAAGAGATCCAATGCTTCCTACTGATTGTCCTGTAGAGGTAGTGACTTTATTTTAATGTATCATTCAATATTGTCATAAATTCAATACATTTGGTTCAAAAATTTGTTAGTGTAATGTGCACGATTTATTATAAACTTAGTAAATATTTTCATTTAATTCTGGAATACTTGCAAAGGAGGTCGCTATTGTCTAATGTTTTTGTCAGGGTTTATAATATGAATTCCATTTGTGATAATAATTTATTTTTTCGACTAATAAATAAACAACTTTGAAAGCTTCTAATCATGATTCATAAAAGGAATAGTTTGCTTGTCTGTGGGCACATAGTGTGCCGTGATATTTTGATCTTCAATAAGTTTTTTCGGGCTTGAACTAGCATATTCCCTCTATATATATTATCTAATGCTTCGTGAAATGGTGACTCATTAATATAATTAATGAAATGTGATACTGTGGAGTTATTTAATAGTCTAGCCCAGTCATATTTGTGATATGCGAGATAGAATTCTGCTCTTTCGTTGCTATAAACTTTCGACTTATTTTATTTAAGCATTCTTGTTACACAGATCACATGGACATACTGATTCTCCAGTACATGGAACGTCTTTCGTTATGTGACCCTGTAACATATTTCTATAAAATTATAATTTAGTATTTAACACATTTCTATGAAAATTATATTGTAGTATTTTTCATCCTCAGGTATCACCATCGATGTATCGAGAAATTATGCATGATATTCCAATTCGATTATCAAGAATTAAATATTTATCTGATGCCAGAAAACAACTGTTTTGTTATGCAGAAGCTGCTAAGAAAATGATCGAAACTAGGTAAGTAAGCTGTTTGATAGATTGTTTATATGTGTTTTCACATCTTCACAAGAAACATAGCCACTGATGTGTAAGGAACTAATATTTTAGATCAGAGGTGTGCACCATTTTTTGTCGGTTGGCCCTATAACTGACTTCAGACATCTAGCTATGCCACAAAAAAAAATGGATTTTTCCATGTACACAACTAATTTAAAAACTAGCAACAACCAGCGCAGCGCGGGAAAGGCAAGAGGAGAGGATACGGCTATCGTTTATCCTTCTAGTCATGGAGGCACTGGGCAAAACAGCGAAAGATATAACGCAACGACTAGGGATGTCCGTATCCGAATACTAAACTATTCTAGAATGCTTCTGAAAAAACATTTCGAATATCGTTTAAACTAAATTACTAGAACCAAAATAATACTTCACAAGTGTTTCAGTAACTTTATTTCCCAACATAAGTGGGTGAAATGAACATGTGACATAGTCTGTCAAACTAAACTGATGCGAATCACTGGAGCATTCTCTGAGAAAGTTATTTCTCTGAATTAAAGAAAACATACTGTTGCCATCACAAGCTTCTAATCAGGGCTGGGAAGCTGATTCTTAATCACAGTGGCTTTGGCTACAGCTCCAGGGACCACAGTTCTTTTTTAGAGCTCCTGAAGTATGTGCATGGCTCACAACCTGAACCCCAAACTGGTACACATAATAATGTTCATGTTGTGCGGCACAGTGCCGTATGACTGTACTAGTACCGTAGCCTACTGGCACAGATAAACTCCGATTCCATTAGGCTACCGGTACGGTACGGTACTGCTATTCAACCAAACGACACCGTACCCATCTTTACCTTTAAAACTTCCACCGTGCGTTATGCAGTTATGATAAACTCGCAATAGAAAACTAATCACTTCCATAACAGAGATACCGTACCGGTTGCCTGCACCGTCAACATCAGATTGTCGGCAATAATCGCACAAGTCTGGACATGCCCAGACATGCCCGTTTCGTCACGCTTGATAGAAAGCAGAGGTCACTATGGTTCACGCGACGGACGATTCAGCACTTACTAACGTACTTTGAAAAAAAATACTGAAAAAGATCGCGCTCGACGTCGCAAGTTTTATACATGTTAAATTACGATTAACCGAAATTGGAAAAAACTATTCGAATACAGCTCTAAACGAAAACGAAACGAAAACGGAAACGATAAGGACATCCCTAGCAGCGTCACGAGCAAAAATTATTGTGTATTTTTACCCATGTGAGCGCCTTTTCAAACATAAACTGTCGAATTAGGATTTTATGCTTGATGGGGAAAAATCTGGTTGTTGACAAGCGGCATCACACAAATTGTTTATGGCTAGCAAGATGCCTGTTGCACATCCCTGTTTTGAATGGACCAAAGTCCAGTCATTCAAAAATGACTTCCGATAACTGATTGACACAAAAAATTTCGGTTCTGGTTCCGCTTGAGGGGAATTTCATCTCAGTCTCTAACTCTCAACTTCAAGCTAACCTAATTTTGACTGCAAGAACTTACCCTTGCGTAAGTCTTCTCTAATTTGCCGGTTGAGAAGATCAACTTAGTCAACTTTTGTTTTACCTCCAATCCAATTACAATATCGATAAATGTCTAACAAAATTAGAATAGGGATGTGCAACAGGCATGTCGCCTGCCATAACCTGGCCTGCCAAGCCTTTTCGTTCTGCCTGTTGCTTTTATTGCTTTGAGGCTAAGCGATAGTCGCATTTTCTTCTCTTGTCTTTCCCGCTAAATCAATTGTTTGGCCTGGCTGGATTTCTGCAGTTGTTTATATAGCCTACCGACAAAAAATTTTGCACCCCCTGAACTAGAATATTTTTTAGATAAGAGTATGATATGCAAGAGTTGGAATCCTAGCTTTAGACCTTCAAGATCAATTTGGCAAAACCTGACTGTTAAATAATATATAATATCTGTTCTGTTTTTACTTTAGTATTGGTTACAGATAGAATCCTCCATTCTTCTATGGTCATTTTCTTACTGAAATATTATGATTTGAAATCAAGTGATATATTTGTTGCAACTATATTATTTTTTTAGAAATACAACAGCAGAAAGTAGGAAACAAGTGAAATGGCAAACAGAAGAAACATTTTCCTGGTTAAGAAAAGAACAGAATGCATTATTGGAAGACTATTTAGTAAGTTTCTGAAATAGAAATATAATGACATAAACAATTCCATGCATAAACACTCTGCGAATCCAGCCACCTAATTGGGAAAATATCAATAATATAATTGGGGGGTGTGTCTTTTAGGCAGATTATTTGGTATTCCGTAGTATGTGTACCAGGTTATGGTTAGGCAATAATTTTATTCCGGTTTTCCTTATTTCAGTTCTATTACGAGTTTGGGGACTGTCTGTGTTAGCCAAGTGAATATACCCCTGCCCATAGGTTTCCGTCCATTTACACAAAAATAGGCAAACAAAATTAATTACCTCCATATTGGTACATACACTTCTGGAGTGCCGATTATTTAGTATTTCTAACATTTGGAACAATTCATCACTAGTAGAGATGCTTTTTAGGTCTATTGACCCTGAATAAAAAGAATTATTTGTAGCTTGTTGTCAATATTATTTATAATAAATTTATATTTTATCTCTTCAGGATCGATTGAGTCATTTACGACGGCAGTGTGGACCCCACCTGGCACAAACGGCAAAGAACTCAGTCGAGGCAATTTGTATCAAAATGTACCACATGGCTCGAGAATGCTCGAAGAAAATATTTGACAAAGCAACATCATTATTACAATTAAATAAAATAGGTACTTTTTTATTTTTAAATTTTTTTTCGGGTTTTATCGCTCCAGACAAGATCACTAGTATGTGAAGAGCGACTATATTTTGGATACCCCCTGGCCATAGGTTTCAGTTCCTTCACACAACTTGATGTAAAGTAGGCGAACAAAATTAGTTACCTCCATATTGGTACACATACGCCATATTTTGGACTCTTCATCTCGTCATTGCGTATCTGAGTTATTTCACCCTGGGTGAACGGCAGGCTTGGGTTTGAACCCCATCTTTATCCCGCGACACCAACACAGAATTATTTCATTAAACATGTTAATTTTCATCTAATATTCGGATATTGCTCTAAAAAAGATACTGCATGAGCATTATTCTAGGTAGCGATATAGGTTTTAGCTATATACTGAGGTTGGCTATTTTATGATTAAACGTGGTACATCTGTGAAAATCAAACAAAATCCTTTCACCTTTGACACTTTGAGGAAGTGGTGAATTAGAGTTATTATGGAATATAATAATAGTTTCAATGGAATATTGTGTCATAATTTTTGCTTCAATTATAATATTTACCACGATTCATGCTATAAATTTTTTATTTAATATTTTAGTTATATTTTCAAAAACAATATGTTGAACTTGGATAATTAATTTTCAGAAATTCCTGTGCAACCGAACCCAACTGCTCGTCTAGTACCAGCTGCTCCGACAAAGATGATCACCCCTACCCCACCATTGACTGGGGTTACACAAGAAAGAGACAAGACCCATGTTTCTTTAACCTATAAAAGTGAAGTAATGAGAATAAACGGAAAATTTATGGAAAAACTGGCAAGTATTGATGTTGCAGATTATATATGGGCCTCAGATGATTTAAGTTTGAACATCTATGATTATAAATTATCAAAAATATATTATCGAATATGATATACGCGATTGACGTCCCAGATGCGAACTCTTTTCCATCTATGAAATGCTGCCTCGCTATGTTTATTTTACAGATAATATAATAGACTGCGTTCTTCTGAGGTTTCTGAGCTTGTCCCTCCAAGGAAAGTTTTCATCTGGGTACTTGGTTGTACTCTATAGTCTAGACCGGGGGCTTTCAGCGGGGTTCCGCATTACCATAGGGTTTTGCCAATACATTCCAAGTGTTCTGCAACTTTACATTCAAATCCAAGAGTCTATTATTATATGTATATATTGTTCAAATATATTCAAATCGTATCCGGGAAATTCGCCGCAGAAATTTCGCTGCATAGGAAAATTCGGTGCATGAGAATCGCCACACGAGCATTTTGCTGTAAAACAAGTAATCGTGATAAAAACAGTTAGGTTTATAGGGTTAGGGTATGCTCTTAAATAACAAATATTTTTTGAATAAAAAGGGACTTCAGAAACTTAACTGTTTTTATCACAAATACTTGTTTTACAGCTAAATGCTCTTGCATCGATTTTTTCCTATGTGGCGAAATTTCCTATGGCGAAATTTTCCTACAACCTAATCAAATAACCAAAAGTTAATTTTGATACTATTGTTAAATTTGCTGCACTTTGAAAAGCTTCGAGAACTTAGATTGTTCCGTTACAGTTCTGCTCTACCGAAAAGGTTGAAAACCACTGCTCTGGAGTCTAGACAAAGATATATTCATGCTGCAATTTTATATGAATTCAGTAGTCCTTTGAGTTTCAGTGATTACCCTTAACTTTCTCAGAGAATGAGTCCTTTACTTCTGAGTGAGTGCATGAGACCTTGCTTGGTGCAAATTCCTTTTATTAAAATATTTCAATAATATTTTTATTCATTTAGGAGCTATTGTACAGGCACAGTTGTCATGATGATCCGACAATGTCAAATTTTTTACCGAGGGTTTGGTGTTTACTAAGAAGATACCAGGTAGGATAAGTAAATTAGGATTTTTTTGGAGCGTGTCTTGTTATATAGTTTTTAACAGGGCATTTTCGAAATGCTGTTTTTACACGGTCCTGGGAATTGTTGGCAAATCAGGGTTATACTAAATTTACAATGTTAGAATGACCTAAACACTGTCAATAATTACCAAAGATCAGTGTTTCAGAGTGGTAGAGCTGAGGGAAAAAAGATACTCAAGCTACAAGTCACTCCAGCTTCTCAATAAGGGGTTGCTCGTAGTTTATCAAGCTTTGGCTAATATACTCAGGAAATATCTTGAATTAAATGATTATCAGTTTTCCAAGAATTCGAAAATTTGACGATTGACTAAAAATGTTAATTTTGATTTTAATTTTTTGATAACTTGATTTTCCATTCAGACTATGTTTGGGCCGAATCAGTATGAAGGTATCGTCTTGCAAGGAGCTCTACCTGTTCCAGTATTCAAATGTCTTCATGATATCTTCGGAGTTACGATGGAATGTTTTGCCTCACCTTTGAACTGTTATTTTAAACATTATTGTTCGGCGTTCACAGATACAGACTCCTATTTTGGTTCGAGCGGGTAAGTTAGGACCATGCATGGAGTCTTTGTAATTATTATACAAAATGTCTTTAGTAATTGTTTATGTTGATCATGTCTGATTATTTTTTTGATCAAATATAAAATTAGTTTTTGATGACTTAAATGTTGGTAGTTTGGGATATAGGAGCAAATTATGACCAAATTGATTCACGCAAATTGCTAACCTGTAGGCCAGGGGAGAGGGGTTGAGGGCCGGAACCTTTTGAAATGTAAAAAAAGGCATTTTCTGTATCATGCATCCCCCCCTTTTAAAATTCCTGGCTACGTCCCTTCTTTAGGTATCTGTCCCTGTGATATATACAAAAAAAGTAATGCTGGAATAGCCCAGGAAATTCCGAAACAAGCCTAAAGAATATGGCATTATATAAAGAATCAATTGAAAAAACTTTTTCACGGTTGTGACGTTTGAATCTTGTATGGGTGGAATATTTCGTGGCGAAAATTTTTTGCGGTTAGACTTTCCTGAGGAGGAATTTTGATCGGTGAAATCCTCCTAATACTAAAGAAAACATATGCTAACCATAAGCCTGACATGGGCAAACCACATGAGTCAAATCCGGCCTGCCTGTTGCTGCCACAACCAAACTAAAACCAAATTTTGATGATTTAGCTAAAAAAAATACCTCAGGAATTTGTTGAGATTGCGATAAAACTTTAGTTTTGGCACGAGGCCTATTATTTTCCACTCTTGTTCTTGTAACAATGCAATATTGTTCGTAAAATGTAACTTTTTACGTCACTTACACGGCCCGCCAGTATAGATGGGCAAAATTTTTGCCATCCTGCCATAGGCCATAAAATTATTGTTTTGTTATTAGCACGATCTATGTGTTTGAATGTATGTCGGCATCGTAAACTTACCTAGTTCACTGCTGTAAAGAACGACGAATAGTATTATGCTTCCGAAAACAAATAACAGGCTAACTAATCCCATACCCGACCATGACTGGTAACTGGACGAGAGCCTGTGGTTCGCCATACGATCAAGCCGTCTTATTGACTTTCCTCTCCCCCGAGATAAATATGTAAATCCTATCCTATCATAATCAATCCTTCTGAGGTTTAATATTATTACATTCTTTATTTCAGACCGGTTTTGCAATTTTTTCCGGTCAGCGGATCATTTGAAGCTAATGCACCATTTGCTGAAGAACTTATGGAATCAATGGTCGATCATTTTGATAAACTTTTAGCGCAAACAGACAAACCTCTTTCATTTATTGTTTTTGTTCCAGAGTGGAGAGATCCCACTCCTGTTGCCACATTGCACATGGAAAATAGTAGATTCAAACGGAAACAAGTTCTTATTCCTGCGTTCGAACACGAATATAGAAGCGGATTGCAACATGTAGCACCTGTGTGAGTTTGGTTCATGTAATTTCGTATCTTATTGTAGGCTATGGTAGCACTTTCATCAGCGCTTCAGAAGTGGGTACTCCCAAAGTATGTGAACCAAGGTGGCGGGCATCGGAACGCAGTATGTGCAATTGTTCTGTTTAAAACTGCTTTCATATGTTATTTTATTTGCCATGTTTAGTAATAAAAAACCAACAAAAGGAAAGTAAAAGAGTAAATGCATTTGTTCAGAAAATTTAACAAATCGCAGTTACGGTAGCTAATTTACTGTTAATTAATGCAGTCTTACGAGAACCGGTCTTTGGTCTTCTAGGAGGCTGAGGTCCCAGGTTAACAATCAATAGAAGTAGAAATTTTAACAAGGCATCTATATACCATAACCTTTGTTAGAATTTGCAAATATGACATCATAATACGATGCGTCTTCATAACACTTAAGCTTATTTCCCAATTTGAGTATAAACTTCACAAGAATTTTAGGGTCTGATGTGCATCAGTCATTATTCCAAGTTTGTCATCTTGCATGTAACTAGGCATTTCGATACTTGCCATGGTAGTATGGTATCAAAAAGTACATGTGAGCCCATAATTGTGTATGGACATGGACCAGGCCTTTTTATATAAGAATTGATGTGGCAAATTGGAAGTTATAGCCATAATTTTTCTTTATTTGAGTATAAAATCAGAAAATTTAAATTGGAATTATTTTATTTTTATGAATTTTACACTTTTGTCGTTAATGATAATCTGTACAGAAAGCACTCAGTTATTTATACCCCGAGTTTGGGATTGTCATGGGTTGACCTATCAGCCAATATTGTTTGGCAAATACCCTAACCCAGAGGTTCCCAAATGGGTACTCCCGTCTCCCGTAGTATATGTACCAGGTTAGGGTTAGGCCATAATTTTATTCTGATTTTCCTTGAGCTTTTCGGTTGAACTGAGAATATTTTAGTTCTATTACGAGTTCGGGAACTGTCTGTGTTAGCCAAGTGAATACACCCCCTGCCCATAGGTTTCAGTCCCTTCACACAACTTGATGTACAGTAGGTGAACAGAATTAGTCACCTCCATATTGCATATTGGTATATACCACTCCTGGAGCGCCTCAGCTTTAACAGTTTTTATCATCAATTTCTTGATATGGGTGAAAAAAAATAAGAAATGAATTCGTAGGGAATGGTTTGATATTTTTGTGACTTGCTCAAAATTATGCTTAGTTTGGAAACTACTTTCCTGACTAATATAGCTCACAATGCTAACTTGATATTCACGAACTTTCACTATATTAATTATCTTTTTTGTTCCAGGAATGAAGTATATCATAAATCGGTACATGGAACTCTACTTTTCTTTCTACAAAACGATGCTGGGTTCGAAAAGTGGGGACCGACGCCCGCGAGATTACGTGAATTACTTTCGTCTTTTCAACCAGAAAATCGAACATGTTCTGAAAATTTGCTTCATTAATAATAAAAAATTTTGATGATTTTATTGCGAAATATTTTAATGTGAAAAGTTTTTTTTATAAATTTACAGCATAATTGAAATGTTTGAATTTCTGGAAAATTAAACAAGATGGTATCAATCTTGATACAGTATACTGGATTCTGCTACAAGTAAATTGAATAGAATATTTTCTCAAAAGTAGTTTTTCTTGGATAAAAATGTTAGTATGGTGTAGTAATGTAGTATTATTATAATTTGTTTCTGGATTTTGATGCATACCAGTGGCGTAGCCAGTAATTTTTAAAGAAATGGGGTTTCTAAAATTTGTAGTTGCCAAGTTAGATCATAACAGCTAGCCGGTTCGGGGTTCCGACCTTCAAACCCTCCCTGATACATATTTAGTAATTCACTATATTCAAAATGGGAACCAATAAACGATGGAATAATGACTATGAATATCAAATTTTCATTGCAACAATGCTTATAGGAGTGCATTATATTTTTTACGTTTTCAATTTCAAATGTACGCTTGCTTTTTATATTTTAACCTTATTTTTGTCGATTTTTTTTTTCATGTGACATTCATTTTATCAACTCTGCCATTCTTTTCAACCCTTTTTCTTATCTATAATCTTATTTTTTGAAGGTTCTCAATTGAATCCACTTTGACTTTGCTGCTTGTATGTAGTATAATTAGCGCCAATCCATAATCTAAGATAGCATTGTATTACACTACGCCACACCGCCATGATTGTTTTTTCAAGTCATGCTTGATATATGTATTTTGACACAAATAAACCTTGCGCTACAGATACGTATAAAAATCTCCAGTTTTTTTTTTCAGTGACATTTTATTGAAAATAATGTGAATGAATTAAATAGAATAGCCATTTACACTCTTGCTATAGCATCCTTGCGTTATACGCATACGGATCCACCTGCACAAAGGCATAGAGCAAAGAAAGGTAGTTAGTTTCCCGTAACCCCAACTGTTAGTTAAACTAAAATTGTTTGCTTTATTCATAATTTGTAGATTGTTTTGTCTGAAGAAGTTAGGCTATGATCAACAAAAGGTTTCTTGATAAAAGATTACGCTATTCTTGTAATGTTAATCTAGCTTTGTTTTCATGATGCAAAATGAATTGGTGCATTATGGGTTTTCAACTAATGATTGTCGAACTAAACTTATGACAGACACTTTGTTTTGCTTTCTTTGAAATCCATGTCTCAGTTCCACAGTATGACATAATTTGCATTTGCTAGAAAATTCTTATATTATTATAAACGTCCTTTTCATATATATCATGTGTGTCACTGGTGTTTAGAAATCTGATATAGTGCTGTATTTTTAGTGGGCTAAATTTTTTCTAATTTGAAAAGGAAATTTATCGATACCATATATTGTTTTGGCCCTCAGCCTCTCACAGATGTATTAAATGAAGTAAAAGTACTTAAACAATCACTGATTAATATATTGAGAACTGACTTCAATAACAAAATTGAAATTGTAAAGGGACTTTATGGGCACCCTGTATATCCCCATTTGCTATTTTGAAAAACATTTTTTCAAGTAACGGCGTCAGTGAATAACGACGGTACTACCTTTTTTTGTCTATATATTTGAGCATTGCTCTTTTGTCTCTTAACTTTCACACAGCCGAATGAATGTTAGTATCTGTTGACCTACATCAATGCCCGAGTCTGGTATAGTTTAGTACCACACGCACTTCTAGTTGGCCTGGCTCAACAATTTTTTGCTTTTGTTATTCCCAAATCCCAACCCCCACCTTACTACGCCACCAAAAAATTACGTCACAGTGGCGAAATAAAGCTGTCCAAAGTGTATATGGTCGTCAAAACGCGCAGACGATCACCCGAAATTGAGCAAACTTTTTCTTTCGTTTCTCGTCGCAACGATTCCGATATAAGAGATCGCTGTCGTTATTAAGTTCATCATCGGCGGCGCAAATATCATTTCACATGATTGTAGCTATAATTTGGCAAGCGCTATGACGTGATTGCGACGTCGTAGTGATGTAAGTTTTGGATGACATAGTCAGGTGGGGGTTAGGAATAACATATCTGAAATTCGTTATGCCCCGCCCACTGGAAGTACTAAACTATACTAGACCCCAAAAAGCAAAATTTTGGTAAAAATTGAAGACTTATAAAAATAGAGGGGCGAATTAGTGCTACACAGCCATGGTTACATAAATACCGTAGGCAGATATTTATAGGTTTGGGTAAGACGGTTAATATTACTAGACTAGGTATTTGATTAGAATAAATCCTGAGTCAAGTATATGCATCTGAAAGAAAAAGCTGGATAATTATTCCCATACCTGACATGGATGGGTAACCAGATGACATATGGTTAAACCAGCATTTCTCTCTTTCATGATAAATAAGAAAATCTTGAATATTGTCAACATCATGATTTCAATCATGAGAATTTGGAAATATTCGGGGTCTTGTCATCCCAAGTAAGCTTCCTATTTCCAAGCTGCTGTTTGTTTAGGGTTTTGTTTAGAGCAAATTGTAAAATATGTTATAAAAATGTTCATTTCTGGTCACTGCTAACTTATATTATGTTTTTTTTTGTATTTTGGTATAAATTTTTTATCATCTATTGTCCGTTTGCCATTGGTTTTTCATAAATTAACACCTTGTGTTGAATTTGTTCCTGCTTTAAAAATCCTGTTGCTAGATTCGACTCCACCTCAAAAATGTTCCATTTCGCAGAAATAATATATCAAATTACCATGATTTTCAGATGTGGAGGTTGATTTATTGTCATTGCTCGATTGGATTAAAAATTTTTAACTTGTCTCTCGTAATTGTTAAAATTATCGTCATTGTTAAAATTATTGTACTATCTATTTGGCCGTTTTCATTTCTTATGGATAGATTTTTTCTAAAATTTTGTTTTGTGTATATTGCATCGTGCTGCAGTTTTGTACATGCCTCCCATACGTATTGTGTATTTCTCCATATTCTTGTCCTATTCGAAAAATAAATTTAAGAATTTGTATAAGTTGTAATGAAATTTATAGCCTCCAACAGCTTGCTATTATTAGGCTTCTAATTTTGAGAAGACCGCACTCCTGGCTCATTATATAAAATAGTTTAGAGCAGTGATTCTTAACCGCGGTTCTTAGAGCCTTATTTGAGTCTCAACTATATAACTTACGCCTCTCATTACCCTCTAAACCAGGGGTTCTCAACTTTTTCTCTGTTATGTACCCCCCCCCCCCCGCGAGTCACAAAACAATCAGCGCGAACGCCCAGTAATCAGACACCAAACTAAATTGTGATATATTGACTAACAATTTGCTGCAACGACTGCCAAGCCCAGCATTTCACATTGTTGCGTCAGAATCACAACAATGCAAGATCAGGGAAAATGTACGCTGAGTTTCAATTGGCACTTATTTTCCTCTTGTAGTTACTTTCTTTGTTAAAGGATATTAAAAAAAACCAACACACTAAAACTTGACTGTCATCCGAGTACCCCTGGAAATTTGATCATTTTCAGTGAAAATTTTTTTGTCAAAAATTAAGATATATGTATTTGTGAATGTTGTACTCACTACATGTTTTTCAGACAAAAAGCAGAAGGTTGGTACTGGTGGGTCAATTTTGATAGTGGGCTTGTGGCCCCATTTTACCCTCCCTAATCCTGCTAAGGTTAACGTACTGGTGGGCCTTTTTTATCGCGGTCTCTCGCTTCACAGACAATTATTGTGTATCATATATCTCCTAAGTATTGGGACAATTATAGAATCCGAGAAGTGTACAGAATTGCAATGAGATAATTAATCTGGCCCAAACGACGTTATAAATATTTATTTAGTGCCTACCATTCTCCTGCTTGACATTAAAATAAGAAACAATCGTCGCATATTATTCAAGATATTCCTTGTTTTTTTTCGTTGCCATATTCGTATTTTCTAATATGCATCCATCACTTCGCATTGGTAAGTTTGAATTCTATAGACTTGACAAGCGCATTTGCAATTCATAACCCCCATGTAGGTCCGTCCAACAGCATTAAATTGACTTCTCAGTAGTAAGTTTATTACTATTTACTAAAAATTGCAACAAAACAGCAACAAATATGTGACATTACTGAAAAAAAAAAATTACATTCAGCTAATAAGAAAAGATAACCCCCCCCCCCACATTTCAAGATTGTCAGGTTGGGGCATTTGTTTTTCAACCAAACAGAGAACATTAAACATAAATTAGTGCCAATCTACAACTATACGAGTAAAACAAACAAAACATAGTGCAAAAGCTCATTATATTTGAACTTGAGCAAGATATACAGAGATTTGTGCTGGAAATAAGATTTAAAATGCGTTTGACCATAAATCTAATATTGAATATGTTCTACAAATAAATATATCATTTTATCGATATTTAATTTAGTTGATACCAATTTTAAATTTTGTCAAGAATACACGAAAACTAAATTTACGAATTTAATTTAAGATGTTACATGAATCAATAATGTAACTGTAAATGTTTTTCGTCTTTTTACGGGATAAAAAGTAACAATGAACGATATTCTATATGAAACGTACAAATATCAAATCAGTTCAGATGAATATTTTCGAGGAAAGGTTTCAATAAAAATTGAACATTACATTTAGCAATAGTGCAAAAACGTTCTATAGAATGTTATTGTACACAAATATAAGCCATTAAAAAGGCAATGAAATTCATTTTTTTGTTTCAAATTTGGCAACAATATTTAGATGACTATCAAAAATAATAAATTTGGTCCATTTAAAAACAGATTGGTCACATACAAAAGTGCCATATATATATATCAGTTCAATTTAAGTGCACAATTTAAGTTTTGCATCAGTAAAAATGTTGTCATTGACCAAAAATATTCTGGATGATATCAGAAATACCCAACATCGCATAAATCACTCTTGCGAATACAATTAGAAAACTTTTTTTCGAATATGTAAAATATTTCAAATTAAAAAAATTGTGCGGTGGAATTTACATAAATTTTTCTTCCCTGCCTTCATCAGAATTTATTTCAAGTCTATTCAGTCTGACTGTTAGGTGTCAATATCTCAAAATGATAATTTTTTTTATCAAAATATTATGATGAAAACTTACTGCTGAAATCATAAATTAACCATATCAAATATAACTATTTTCGAACACTTCAAAAATTCGATTTGTGCTTTTCCATCTATGCTTTATGGTATCTACTTTAAAATGCATGAAAGTTCACATACATTTTTTTTTGAAGCGTAAAAACTTAAGAATTACTACTTTGAAAAATCACAAAAACGTTTACACAAAAAAAAAACTAAAATTAATATAGTGCAGCGGTTTGACTTTCAGATTAGCACCAAAAATTAAATTAAAAGCAAATTACGAATTGAAAGAGGTACAGAAAATGCGTTAAATTTAAAGAAAGATGCGAATATTCAAAAAAAGAAAAATAGAGCACAATGAATAACATGGTGACTAGTATCAGCGCTCCATTCAGAACTCATGAATCGACGTAACTACTCAATCTGTGCAAAATCTTCATGCACAGACTTGAATGTTTATTAAATTGGAAAAATTACAATATTTTAATCACGAATTTTATTCAAATTCAGTTATTTTCAATTTTTTACATGAAAAAAGGTAGTAAAACCACTGGTATTTCACAGTATTCAAATGAAGTGAGATCGTAGAAACGCTCCCTAAAAGTATCAAGTTATATTGTAAGGCAATTTTTATTTAGAAATCCATTATTGATTATTTAATCCAAGTAAGCATAAAATAATATGGCAAAATCTAGGACGGATCAGCATTTACGTTAACTATAAATCGAAGAAACACCATAACGAATTTTTAAAAAATCATCAAAATGAAATGAGCGCAGATGATCGAACAATTAGTAACTAAAATTTCAAGTGAATATTAAATCCAATTTTGAAATTTTTAACGTATCAATTTCACTTAAAAAAATTTCACAGATGTAATGAAATCAATTCTCAACACAATTATCATTTTCTATCATACATACATAATTGGATATTCTTTTGCATTACATACAATAGGAAAGACGATAGATGTCCATACTACCAGTTTTTAATAATAATTTTAAATTATTATACTTTCTGCATTACATGCATCAGAAGTACTAAAGTACTAGTTCATCCAAAGACAACCCTAAACATGATGTGAGACGTTTTTACAACAAAAAAAAATTGAAAAAAAAAAATCATTAAAAATTGATGATTTAACAGCATCTGATAATAATATTAATAAGAGAAAATAAAGAAACTGCAAATTAAAGCACCAAAAAAGCAAAAAATGATTAAAAATGAAAAAAATGTTTTAGTCGGGGGTCTCGTCTAAAAAAGTTACTGATTGGAGTGAGTTGTATTTGAATTTGAGTGATGATGGTGGCTTGTTTGTCCACAAGGAACCCAATGAACTACTTCTGGTCAAGCTTGATATATCAATAGCGTGTATTTGTCCGAACTTAATTTTGTCATGGCCATGCAGTGGCAGTTTTTAAAAAGTAGATCACTGGTCAGCGAAATCCCATCCGACTTCATAACAGAATCTGTATTGTTCCTGAAAAAAAAAATTTGAACATCAGAAATTTTTTGATATAACAAAATTTTAAATATCATAGTATTTATGAGAAAAAAAATTAAAAGTGATTATTATAACACTACTCCTCAAATTTCTATTATCCAATACTTTTCGTCTAATATCTATTCCATACATAATCTTGTATCTATTTATCTAATATTTACAAGCCTCGCCAAGCCTATGATTTTTCCTATTTTAGTTCTATTACGAGTTCGGGGACTGTCTGTGTTAGCCAAGTGAATATACCCCCTTGCCCATAGGTTTCAGTCCCTTCAAACAACTTGATGTAAAATAGGCGAACAAAATTAGTTACCTACATATTGGTACACATACTTCTGGAGCGCCCAAATATCTACCAAGGTAGCAGCTAAATAGTCAGCACATTTTGCCAAGCATCAGAATATACTTGTCACCACACTATTGCATACTCTGATATGGTTTGAATCCTTCGCAGATTATTTATAACCACGAAAATTTTTTGGTCTTCTTACTGTGGTCAAGTTCATGTACCACTGATCGTTCTCGCTACATCATTCCGGCTAATGCACGCAGAGCATTCGACTAGTTAATTATTCCTACACCCGACCTAGGCTGGCCCATATGTGACTTATGACCTGGTAGTCCGAATAATGATTGAATCAGATCAGACGCCATTTTTTACCCAAATAATCTTTTGTCTCAGAGTAAAACTACATACCAGTGTTTCAACAAGCTGTGGACGAATGTTTCTTAATCGTTGAACAATATTAAAAACATCGACTGCAAATTCTTGTCGTAATTGCATGCACATATTATAACATGCTACGAATGTACCGCTCCTTCCAGCGCCGGCTCTGTAAATAAAATAAAATTTAAGGATATTTAACGAGTGTAAATTCGAAACAAAAATATATCTAATGGACAAGGCAAGAAATTTACATATTGGGACAGGTAACAAAATATTATTGCTGTGGAGTAAAGTTTTCAATGAAACTCGATTTCAAGTCAAATTTTTAAAACCTTTCCTACAGGTGGAAAGTCAAAATTTCAAAGGTTGATAGAGTCAAATTTTCTGACAGAAACTCAGAAAACAAAGTTGGCTAGGCATCTCAACAGACAATTAAATAAAAAAGGCTCGCATACACCATAGTTTTCGTCATGAATATTTTGGCTTGGGTTCCTACTAGGGCTGGGCAATTTCGATGATTTCTGAATCGAATCAAAATTTTTTTTCCGAATCGAAGCTCGAATACTTGGGAGTCAATGAGAGATAAGTAATTGTATAAGACTTTATTATTATAATTGGTCCTGTCAACAAATGAATTACTGAAAACATAGAATACATCACGAGGCAAATTACGAAGCGTTCACACACAATAAAAACACTCATTTGTCAATAACTCACTACAGAAAATAGTCATAATGTCAGAATTGCATTGTAAAAAATTTCTTCAATAAAAAAAAATTGGGTAATTCACCTCGACCATTAGCAGAAAGAAAAAAACAAGACGGCGGCGATTCAAAGTTTTGCTTCGAACCGATTCGACATGCCAAGCCCTAGTTCCTACAAAATTTTCGTTCTTCCAAAGTCAAAGTTGGAGCTGTTTTGTAAACGGCTAAAGATTTGGATTCAAGCATATATTTTCCAGCGACTTGACAGTCTAGTACAGGGTGGTCCAAGGTTGTGGGCTCCGCGGGCCACAAAATTATTTCGGCATTAGTCGCGGGCCACAATAGTACCAAGAATAGGTAAACAGTGCAATACAAAACAAGCACTTCTGTTGTGTAAACATATAGTTATCAGGCATTGCCAACCTAGGCTAATGGAATTTGCTTCCGATGTTTAGTTTTCTATCATGCCCATATTGTTATCATGTATTCCCGACCAAAACGATATAAATCCAGGTAACAATTTAAACTGCCCATAACATCTTCAACTTTGCAAGTTGCTTCAGCTAGCCATCATACTAGTCAATTCAGTCACAGTAGTGATATAACAACAATATGTCAAACGATTTTTCTGGTTTATTTTATGAGAAGCAATTTAAAATACAATATTTTGATTTCTCTCCGAATGCGGCGCGGGCCACAGATAATGAAGCGGCGGGCCTGGGTTTGAACCACCCTGGTCTAGTATTTCAGCAAATTTTATATAAAAAAAAAAAACAGTTAACTCACAGACAATGAACCAGCATTCTTCCTTCATCTTTCGTAGAAGCAATAGGAGTATTGTTTTCTGTTTGCCATTTTGTTACCAGTTGAATCACCCTCAACACAGCATTTCTTGTATATGGCACTGGCTGGTTCTCTGGCCAATTGGTCAGTTGGAACTGTTTAACCATTCTTGGTGCTTCATTCGGCTAAAAATTTGAGAAACTTCAATTTATGGATGCAATGGCCTAGCGTTTGAAGCTTTTGACTATATTGGCATCGTATGTCAAAAATGTCGGATTCAAATCCCATGGTCACCCAAGGTCAAAAAGAATTAGGTCCTTCAAAAATATAGGCAGATTTGTAGCTAGTAGTAGTTGATTAACCCATGGACATACAGTGCGGTACTTATCAAATCATATTCAGAGGTTATTTCAACGTTCTAGTTAATGGGTTGTTCAAAATGATTGTTGCTACCTTTTTAACACTAATTTATGGCTTTGCTGTAGTAGATGATTCTACTGTCACAAACATGACTGAGTTCTAATCATATAAAATTTTGAGCGCATATTGGTGCTTAACTGACAAACGCAGAAACGATTGTTGAGCCTTGAAATGTTTGGCAGTAATTTAGAAAAAAAAAATAAAAATTTTAGTGCTAAATATTGGCCTCGTGTTATTTGCCAGGTAGACTTATCAGCCAAAGATGTATGTAACATTATAGTAAAAAGTCCTAATCTTCTTATCATGGGAATAATCTTTAGATAGGAGAGGATATTATTATGACTTACTCTATTCATATTCTGTATTTTCAATATTCTCGTCGTAAAATCAACTTCATCCTCTATTTGACTTAATTCAACAGTAAAAGATCCGAATACAGCAGTTCCGTTGTCTGGCCAATATTGACAGCAAGTCTGTTTAAATAACGAAAATGAAAAAAAGTTTTAGTATTTGCCCCTGAACAGCGCAATAACACCATTGTACGATGAAAAAAATTCATCAAAAATCTTTTTCAAAATAAATTTTACCAAATTTCAAATTGTCTCTGATTTTGAGGGTGATTCCGAGTTAAAGTGTCAAAGGTTATACTCGGTGGGTGTCTTAAAAATGCTGTAACCTGCATGATCCTTACTTCATAAGAATATTCTAGCCCTCACCCAGAACATAACATGAATCCCACTTCATATGCTTACTGTAACCATTTGCCCCACAATATGTCGAGTGGGACAAGTGGGAAAAACACGAAATAAGTACACAAATACAACATCTGAATAAAAAAAAAATTGACGGCAACTTACTGGTTCTTGTCCTCCGAGATCATCCATCATAATAACAGAAGTACAATTATAGTCATAAACCAATCTCCAGAAATCAATGACTGTGTTTGGCAGGGGAGTTTGGGTCACAATGAAGGCGTTTCTTTTTGCGTAACTCTGAAAAAAAAAAAAATTTCAAATGAAGATGAATAAAATCCAAAAAGAATATATTTTTTCATACGATGTTTCATATGTCTTCCACTCTGAACAAGGCTCTTTACATATGTCCACAGCAACAAAAGAATCTACTTTTGTTCGAAAATGACAATCTTTTCAATTCGGCATTGTCTACCCAATTTATTTAATCCTAGGGTGAGACAGTGGGCACAGAATTTAAACTGATTTCTTAACTTGTGATGCTTGTATGGCTTAGAGCAGTAATTCCTAAAGTTGATTGAACGAGGGCCAAACTTAGAAGCTGAAGGTATTTGCGGGCCAGGAGGGGGGAGATTCAGCAAGGGGTCGATGCTGGTACCGGTACATATAATAAAGATACCGAACTCAATTGGTATGAATATAAATGTGCTTGAAATGTGACAATGAAGTAACACTTTGCAGTACGTAGAACACAAAACACAAAAAGTAAAAACATAAAGTGATAAACTATTCCACTTAAGTTTGGTGGGCCATATTTAATCGTTACGCGGGCCGCACTTTGAAAACCACTAGCTTAGAGTAAAAAATCAAAAATAAAATGAAACAATGTTTATCCAACTATGCTATGCTTGTAGACAGGATATTCAATCTGTATTACTAAATTAAAATTTTATAAATACTAAAGATTTGTCTCGATTTGAGAATGAACCAATTTATGAAATATATTTGATAAAAACCAATATTTCAAAACGTATTTGGAATAGTTAAGTATTTGATCTCAGTTTCAATAAGACTTGAGTCATTCACTCAACTAGAGTCACCATTTATCTAGAACTCAAGTGTTCGAGTAATCTACATGAAATGACTCAGACTTATACTCAAACAATCTACTGCCAGTGACACTAAAGTATTTGATCTTAATGTCGGGAAGACTTGAGTCATTCACTCGACTAGAGTAACCATTCATCCAAAACTCAAAGTGTTTGAGTAATCTATATGAAATGACTCAGATTCATACTCAACTCACTGCCAGTGAGTCTTAGCTCAGTGATTCAACTCTGGCTTCTGATACAAAGGTCGGATCACTTATATGACCTGTGACTCCTTTTGGCCATCGTTGATTATATATAATACAAATGACAATGAATTCTATAATAATAATAAACGAATAATGAAAAGGAACTTACATCTGTAAATATGGCGTTTATATAATTCGAGTCAGGATCAGTGGGATGTGGTGTTACAAGATACGGCATTAATCTGTCTGATGGCAAGACATCCATATATCTGTTTCGTTCACGATTTCTCGGTAACCTTGCCACTTCACATTCCTCGTCTTTTAATTTCGGCGTCATGACATTCAGGGTCTAAAATAAACAAAAGATAGGATTTGCAATTGTTTTTTACCAAACATTTTCATAGAATTCAACAAAATTTGCTTTAACCAGAGAAAATTTATTATTTCATCAAATTATATATAAAGACAATTTGTGAACAAATTAGGATAATTATTTGAGTGCAGGAGAATTATTTGCGAGAAAATGGTTGAAATTCTTTTCGTTGTGAGGTTGTTCATGTAACCACTGGCCGTTATGTCAAGACAAGACAACTGGTTATACATTAAGTCGTAATTCACAATATAAAAACGCATTCTTACCACCTTTCCTCTGAAATGAATATAAAAATCCTAATTCCTCATTTCCAAACAATACATCTCACTACGTACCTCAAATTCTTCTTGTACTGGTGCGATTTGAGTTTGTTGATCTACAGTTATTAAATCATCGTAATGTTGTCTCAAGTCTGACGCAGCAACGAGCGTATCGCCACAGAGTAAAGCTTCCAGAACCGCTT